GTAAATTAAATGGACTGGCTTCCAATGAAAGAGGTCGTCAATTGTGGGAAGTTTCGTTTCCCCTAAGGCACCAACACCTGCACCGATTCTCAGATTCTGAATCTTACTTTCATTTAAATTATATAATATTCGAATCGGTGTTGGAGGTCCGGGCGCTACAGTCTAACCAGCACCTGCCGCACCTTTGATGTCTCTGTGGATCTTCTTCTCAGAGTGCAGGTAGTCGAGCCCTTTCAGGATCTCCTTCAGCATGGTCGCAATCTGAAACTCATCAAACGGACCCGCCCGCAGCTGCGCACACACACACACACACACACACGCACGCAGAGTGATGACACGGGTATAAAATACACTGTGATATGCCGGAGGCTCACAAACACACCCCATTCCAGTTTCAATCAAGACAAGTCCCAACACAGAAAATTAGACAATCAAATGTTAATGAATCAGATTTTCTCATTTTAAACAGAGTTTTAACAACTTTGTTTTTTATTTTGATTTAAAAAATTTAAGTTTAATTTCTCTGTATTTATGTGCAAAGAGATGTTTATACTCATAAGTGAGAATTCTCCAAAAGAGGGAGGATGAAACTAAAGGATGGGAGATGAAACGCTTTCTACATCTATTAGTGAGACCTCACAAACATTGGCTCTAGTCATTACTTTATATTACTTCACTTACTAGGTTTCATGGACAATAAATCCCCTACAAATGGACATAAAGACTCACCAAGTCGAGTGCTGAGCCCCCTCCAAGATACTCCATGATGATCCACAATTTACTTCCCTGAAAGACAGAATTACAAATAAACTTCCAACAATGTGCCTATAAAAATGACTCAACTACAATATACTGGGAATAAAAAAAAAAATCCTTAGTTCGCAGTAGGTGAAAATTTTTCCGTGGAAAAATAACCCTCTCCACTCCCGTGGAATTCCTTTTAAACCTGACTTAGATCGGCTTCTGGGCTGAATGAAAATATCCGCCTTACCTTCAGGTAGGAGCCGTAGTACTTGGTGATGTACGGACTGTCGCACTGACTGAGCACCGTGATCTCCTGCTGGATGTCCTCGATTTCATCCTCGGCCTCCTCCAGATCGATCGTTTTGATGGCGACGACGCTCTGAGTGCGATTATCGATTCCTTTGAAGACCTGCAGGAGGGAACGGGAGGCAGAGAAGTGAAAAAACATGGATGTAAGAAAACAAAAGAGGATCACCAGGAGAGGAAGAAGAGAAAGAGAGGGGTGATAAAGAATAAAAATGAGGGGAAAAAAGGAAGCGAATGTAGGAGAGAAGATGACAAAAAATAATAAATTACACCCACCTCTCCAAAAGATCCTTTTCCAATGCGATCCAATTTAGTGAACAGCTCCTCTGGATCGAGCTGAGTACTCTGAGGAGAGGAAGAACAAAGAGTTAACAGCTCCATAATAATAATAATAAAAATAATAAACTATTAGCAAAACTACAGGTCTCAATGCAGAGCACCACACGGGCTGAAACACAAACAGACTCATGCTGCTCATTTGCAAATAGATTAAAAACACATTTCTATCATTTCTAATATCCAGAATCAGATATCTTAAGTCATTTGCATGCTGGGAATATTGGACAGACATCATGACGTGGAATGGGCAGTCTGGTTCAGACAAACATCTCTCTTTTTATTAAATAATCTGTAGCTTGAAATTTTATGTATTTTTACAATTCCAACAACAGCAACAGAAAACCAGATTTCTGTTACTGAAGCTCAGCAGCGCTGTGACATTTGAGGTCAAATGGATCCAAAAACATTTGCACATCCTGCGTGTTTATTACACATTTGAATATTATATAACTTCCAGTAAAACTGTTGGCTCATGAGTGTTAATGCATCGACACACTGAGCCTATTCAGGCGCGCCAGGTGTAACAATCACGTGTAAACTGATCAGGAATTACTAGTAAATAATTAACTCTTATTTTGAAAGTTCAGGCAGTTCTATTCGCTCCTTCCTTAGTTTAGGGACTTATCCTCTTAACTTCACATTCAACCTGTGCTTTACACTGTGCTTCTTCCCAAGGTG